TCGGGCATTAGCACCACCACCAGCCCCAACGCCGACGCTTGCTCCATCAACACCAGTATATCCTCCACAGCATGCGATGCCTCCAGGCTACCCTCCACAGTTCCCTCCAATGAGTGCTCCGCCGAACCTCGCACAGCTTCTTCCAGGCTTTAGACCACCAATGCAGCCAACACCGCAGCCTGCGCCGGCTCCAACTCCGTCTGCTCTCAACTTGGCAGAGTTGCTCAAGCGTGTGTCCTCTCCTGCGCATACCAACGCAGCTCCTGTGCCAGCTCCATACCAACCGCCCTTCCAAGGCCTTCCACCGCCTATATCGACCCCGGTCCCAGTGGTTCAAGCACCTCCACCGGCTGCTACACCGCCCGTCAACCTCGCAGCACTTCTCGCGCAATTCAACAAACCCGGTGCTGCACCATCAATGCCGTCCACTCCTACACAGAGCGCTCCTTTCCCTCAATTGCCGCCACAAGCTACTACAACAGCTCCTGCGCTGGGTAGCGCCGAATGGCTTCTGAGAGCTCTAAGCAGTGTACCTAACGGTACCCCGGCGAACGGTACTCCGATTGCGTCCCAGCCCATGGCGCGACAACCTTCAGCACCCGTGAACCTGATGGAACAGATTGAGCTCACCACTGTGTCGATGAAGAAGCCACGCCTCCATCTCGTCTCCCGCCTCTATGAAGCAAAGCCCAACATCTGCGCCACTTGCGGTCGGCGTTTCGAGAGTACACCTGAGGGTAAAGAGAAGAAGGCGCGACACATGGACTGGCATTTCAAAGTCAAGGATCCTGATGCCGCCAAGCGAGGGGTAAGCCGCAGCTGGTATATCCCCGAGAAGGAGTGGATCGAGTACCGCGAAGTCGATGAGACAGCTCCCAATCAGTCCAACGACCCATCTTCCACTACCGGCGCTACTAAGCTAAAGAAACAGACCAAGGACCGGTATGTGAGTGTGCCGCAGGATGTGACGCTCCAGCAGGTGCCATGTCCGATTTGCCAGGAGAAGTTCGAAACACAGTGGAACGTGGAGGCGAACGATTTCGTTTGGATGGATGCGCTTAATGTGGGTGGAAAGGTGTATCATGCTACTTGCTTTGAGGAGTATAGTAAGGGTGCAGGTATTGAGATGCCAGGGACGCCAGACTCAGTGCTTGGTAAGAGGAAGGCAGAGCTTGGGACGAATGGAGAGGGAAAGAAGATACGGGCTTACTAAGTCTATCTTGTACATTATCTGGTTTGGCGTTGCATTATTGGGGGTCTATTTTGAGTTGCATAGCATGGCGTTGGATAGCTCATCTCATTTTGGTTTTGCACGGGATGGTTTCATCACTCCGGGACGAGCGAATGGGTAGCGAGTCATACCAATCAACTTCACATCTTCCAAATCCATTTCCATAGTGCAATGACAACCAGTTTGCACGTTAACATGGGGAGACTCGAGGACTTCTCAGTACAAATATAGAGGATACAGGGTGTATTGAAATCCAGTAGCCCTCATCGTGGACTGTGTTTTGCAGTCTAGAACCACTCGACTACTATCAGCCCGAAACCATTCCAACCCCTACCCCATCCCGCTATCCAGACGACGTCCACACTTCCCATACCGTCAAGACCGGATGGTCTAGCCTCGACGGAAGTGCGTACCGATGTTGAACATTCCATCCTGTTCGTAGGCGGAGCCCACCGCCGCTCCGCCCGACATCTCCGCCAACGCCTGGTCCCCCGCCTCAGCCAACCCACCCGCAAAGAACTTCGTATCCGCCTTTTCTTCCGGCAGCTCAGCATAGGCCTGATCGGCCGTGCCAACAATCAGGTTCCGCATAGCGGCCCTGCAGTCCCGGCTCGTCACATCCCACGGCCGCTCTCCTTGCTCACGCCGCGCGTGCACGGCAGCAGTGAGGTACTGCAGCGCTACCTCTCATCTACACACGCTGTGGCCGCTGAGCTTCCGCAGCTCCTCTGTGAAGCTTGCCGGCCAGTCACGTGGAGCCACCAGCGCTTCGCCGTTGCGAGGCGCGATGTCCTCTGGGAGGATCGCGCCAGCATCGCTCAGCTACCAGTGGCCCTGGATAGCTCCGAGGTAGCGCTGCGTCTTCTTGTAGGCTCCAGACGCCTCCACACCTGGTCCTTGCTGTCGACCGTCCAGTGTCGTTTCCACACGGTACTCCACGCCTGCCTGCAAATGGTCCCAGTCGAGGCGGACCTTTTTGTAGCTCGTCGGGTGCCAGACGACGATGCTGCGCAGCGCGCCGATCTTGCCGAAGAACGCTCCCCGAAGGGCGTTGTAGATCTCGTCGCCCTCCTTCACGTTGGAGTAGATCGTGGCGTAGTAGGTGTTGTCTCCGAGCAGCATGGTGATGGTCTTCTTGACACCCAGGGAGGGAGGGTACTGGTATTCCATTTTGGTTTTGTAGATACGAGTGTGAATTGTATGTGTAGAGGTAGATAGTAGGATAGTGTCATAGAAGAGAAGAGGAAGAAAGAGCAAGAAGAGCTTCTTTTTACGTTGGTTAGCGGGGGGAAAACGATCTTCGACTCCCCTTCAATGTCACAGTCACCTATCTTGCGCAAGTAAATTGAATGTGAACCAATAAAGAATAAGAATTAGACTTAACGAGTGGGTGCGAACGCTCTTCAACTGGCCTTCACCGTCGCGGTCACGCATCCTGCCAAGAAAAAAACAAAAAAATGAAGCATAATCCAATGGTTAGAGCTAGGTTCGAACATGAGGCAAAAATAGGATATAGCAATACTTCGGCGTTCGGGCCAGCTTGTTTCATATCGTAGAGACGGTAATCACCTGTACCGTTACTTGCGGGTTTTTGCTATGACCGATTGCTGAATTAATTAAATATATACTCTAGTAAAAGAAATAACATATTGTGAGATATATTGCGTGTTGTGTGGGGTGGTGTGTGCGCGCGCAAACAAATTTGAGTGAGACTGAAGTCACGCGGAGCCACAACGAGGATAGCCGACAATAGACGAAATGAGAGCGGTCAGATTTCGAGGCAGCCTCTCTGCGTCATAGTGCTGGAGCATCCCATAGCCCAGCCTCCCTTGAGGATACTGTTGATGCCAAAAGCTGAGGTGCAAGGTGCTTGTCTCCGCCACAAAGCTTTCACATGGTGGGCAACAGAGCTTCATAACACATTGATGGTTGGCCGGGTACCCAGCGATCAAAAGGATAGCCTCTCATATCTGCTGATAGATGGCGACGTATCACTGAAGAAGGCGTATCAACGCGCTGCGACAGAATGGAATGAAACGACCATGAGCATGACTATAATGACTTTGACTACAGAATGCACATGAAATGGACAGGAAAAAGACATGAGATAGCGCAGATAAACCATAGGAGAAGACGAATGCAGTATTAAGGACTCTAGAAGAAAGCAAAAAGCCTGCCTTGCACAATACCTCGACATAGACGCTGAAGCCTTCCAACGTCCAATGTACCTAATCGACAGACACCATCGTCATAACTAGACGCAAGACATAACGCGGTTAGTGAACTGTAAAACAGGACAAGAGTTGCCGCTCGGCGAGAAAAGAAGTTGGCAAAGGAAGAGTGAGGGAACGTCCCTGAAGTTCGGGCGTAGGTAACGCTAGCGAAGCACACTATCGAGCTCGGACGCGCAAAATTAGTAAGCCATAGCAATGGTCCAAAGATCACGAGAATGTCCGAAACACGACTCCGCTATCTCCGAGCACACGCGTCATCACCAACCTTCCGGCGGAACCCATTCCGCACCCTCCATAACAATTTCCGAAGCTCTTCCAAACACCAACACCCACAACAACACATACACACCATGTCTTTCGCACGGCTCCCTCGCGCGCATATACCGCTTACTCTACGCTCCTTCTCGACTGCACGTCCACGCTTCCAATCCACGATTCCCCATACACGAACATGTCCCGCCCCATCATGCAAATGCGGCTCCACGCCGCCAGATCTAGACATAGACCGCAAAACGCCCTTACTCAACACCATGGCCCTCTACTCGGAACAAGTAATTCTGTGCACAGGAAAGTCCGACTGGGCCAGCAACCTCGAGCAAGAAAGCGGGCCGGCAGGAGAATTCGCCAGGCTTCTCAAAGGCGCCATAGGGAAAGGTAGCCCGGGATTCGATGTAGGTTCGGTTCCCAATTTATCCCCTTGTTGCCCTACCTATATCAATACCTATCAAAGTGGGATTCTAGAAACAAAAAATAGAACGACGACGATGTTGATTCTTGACTGCTGTGTGTGTCCCATGCAATACAGCCCATCACAAACGTCCTCATAACCGCCTCCTCGCTCCCACCAGCAAGTGAACCCCAAAACACAACCACAGCCCTCCTTCTCCCGAGCTTCAAACGTCTACCAAAAATCCACCCACCGCCGTCTCCAACTTCGCTTCCGCATACCTAAAAGCTCAATCTCTCCACCCCGCCCACACGCCGCTCTCCCCACCACAAAAAGCAAACCTGCTCAACCCATCAAAAGCTACAACCCTGCCCCCACCCCAAGCCATCACGACGCCCACAATCCTAATCTGTGGCCATGGCGTCCGCGACCAGCGCTGCGGCATCCTCGGCCCCTTGCTACAAACCCTCGTTTCGTACGGAGTTGCAGCGGAGGGGTATCGATGATGTGCACGTGAGCCGCACATGAACTCCGCCCTGAAAATGACATGATGTACCTACGCGTACAGCTTGAAGCTTGAAGGAATGAACATAGCCCTATATCTTTAGTCATAAGCTAAGTTGGCTCTTTCTCCTGCTGAACAATGGACTTCAGGTGTGAAAGGTCGATATTCGCTTTTTTCTTCTTAGATGGCATCGTGACTAGATTTAAAAGAAGCGACTGTGATTGCAAACAGAGGCTAAAAATGAAAGCACTGGAGGGTTAGCGTACCGGTAATGCTCGAATACCGGTAATTGAGTGCGCGCACATTGGGCGCAAAGGCTTTCACAAGCCTATATTGTAAATGTTGCAAAAGAGCAAAAAGATATTGACAAGTGGGGGATTCGAACCCCCGCTGGTAAAACCAATGAGAATGCGCTAGTATAATACTAGTAAGCTTACGCTTGAGTCACACGCCATAACCACTATGAGACGTTAGAAAGAAGGACCTTATGAGAGCTAGACAAATTCTTACCTCGGCCAACTTGTCGTTGTTAATGGAAAATTTTTGCGTCAAAACGTATATATACCCTATTATTTTAGAGATTGAAGACCGAATGCGCTGGGTAGACGCCCTTCCACAACGACCCTAACCCCGCCGACTAAGGCTAGCAGGGTCATCTTGATTCTTTGCAACGTACACCCATCAGAGAAGCCAATGAGATTTAATTCCAGTAAAGACGCTTATTACTCGTCTATTCCTAAACAAAGCTCCGCACCACCTTTCTTCGCCAATCAAATCGCAGCAGCGGAACAGTTTATTACCTACCCCCGTTCTACCAAAAGCGTCCGACAATCCAGAAAGTTGTACTGTTAAGTCTGTTCCACAAACATTTCGATTATTGCGCCGCGTTTACCAGGACCAGGACGTGAAGCACATGTTCCCATATCATTGCGCACAGCTAGCGGATCAATCGAGAAACGGCCCCGTCAGACCTATTGTTTTGCCTACCGGTACTTCCGACCGGGCATACCGTATTAGTGGGCATAAATTTGCGGGCTATGTTTATTGTGTATGTGCCGCCTGGGTACGGTGCGTTGGGCGTGAGAATGTGGGCGGTGTTGGGGGAAAGAGGTTGGTTGAGGGTCGTGTTATTGGGGAGTTGTTGAGGGGGGGATGTAGGGTGGATGGTTGAGAAGCAGTTGAAGATGGATAGGGGTGAGGAAGGGGAGGGTTGAGATTTAAGGCGAGGGCGAGGGGATAAGATGGTGTGCGGGATTATGGTTGTGTTGTATGATATATGCATGTGTTTTACAGGAAGAAGACTTCTCGATATGGGTACACGATGGAATTAGTTTCTTATGTGGCCTTTGGTTTCCTGGGCCCAACAAGATTACAAAGAGCACCCCCTTTCACAACGATAACATTCCATCCCTCCGGCACAGCCTCATAGTACGGATGCGAATCCTGCGTCGCACTAGCCTTCCAGATCTTGCCCGACTCTCTATCCAGCCACTCCCTCCCATCTTCCGTCTGCGCCAACTCAACCAACACAAACTTAGCCACCGCTTGACGATCCTGGGAAAGAACACGATCAGGAATTTTCTGGATGTCGACTTCAAACTTGCGTTTCCCATCGACCTGGACGACACATCGACGGGTGGAGGTGAGAAGCGGGACGATGGCGAGATCGGCTTCCGGGAACCCGGTTGCGAAGACGGTGAGAACGCTGGGTTCTTGTCCCGTGCAGGTGGTGAGTAGGTGCCAGGCTTCTTCTGCTACGCTGGGGGCGATGGGGGCGAGCATGCGGATGAGGTGGGCGGTGGAGTACCATTTCAGATAGGGTGTGATGGATGAGGCGTGGGGCGTGTCCCAGATACTGTTTGTCAGCATCATTAGGTCGCTGACAATGGTGTTGAGAGAGTAAGTTTGCGAATACGACTCCACGACGCTGGCAATGGTTTGTTGGGCTTGAGTCCATAATTTTGCTTCGTCTGCTTTCACCACGGAGAGCAGAGACTCGCGAGAAGCTGACTTTGCGTCTGTGCTGGTCGACAGTTCTTGGAGGATGTTGAGAAGCTTTGCGTCAATCTGTGCTGGTATGACAAACTTTTCCACCGCATCATCAGGTATCCAGGACGCGGCAGAGAGTCGAATGACTCGATGTAGCCACCGTTGCACACCCGTAATCTTCTTCTCGTCCCATTCAAGCACGTCGCCCACGGGGGCTTGGAAGAGCATGTGTGCACGCGTCGCGTCTGCACCATACTTGGCAATAGTAGCACCAGGGTCCACGCCATTGTATTTGCTCTTCGACATCTTCTCGTAGCTTACGTTTGGAGTGACACCGGTTGCCTTGATGACTGGCCTGGAAGGGTTTGTCAAGTCGACCTCATCGGGATGAAGAAAGCGTCCATTTTCCGGGTTTGTGAATGTTTCTCCATGTACCATGCCCTGGGTAATGAGGCGAGTGAAAGGCTCGCCGTTGGTCAAGTAGCCCTTTGGCCAGGTAGGCGTCGTGGCAAGGAGCTTGGAAATGAAGCGGGCGTATAGCAGATGTAAGATAGCGTGTTCGACTCCACCGACATAGAGATCCACTGGCATGCCGCTGTTGGCCTTACTTGGATCAACCAGGGCGTTTTCGTTCTTTGGATCTAAAAATCTGAAGAAGTACCAGGACGAATCCATGAATGTGTCCATAGTATCAGTCTCGCGCTCGGCAGCTGAGCCACATTTGGGACAACTTGTCTTCTTCCAGATCTCGTCTTCCGCCAACGGGTTTCCTTTACGACCTTGAAAGAAGCTATCGGGCAACTTTGGAAGTTCGACGGGAAGATCCTTCTCCGGCACAGGAACAGCGCCACAGGAATTACAATGGATGATAGGGATGGGTGTGCCCCAATAACGTTGACGACTGATCAGCCAATCTCGAAGTCGCCAGTTCGCTGTCGGCAGAGCTGGTTTTCCAGTATCGATGATGGCTTGAATGACCTCGTCCGCTGCTTGCTTAGAGGTCATGTCACCGAAGCCCTCGATATCCGCAGTGACGAAGCCCCGTTCCACTATGGGCACATCTGCTCCGCTTCGTGGTACCAACGGCATGGGTAAATCACCTTGTTTGGCAGATACAACGAGTCTGATGGGCTCATCGCCGGCATTTTTTCGCCAGAAGGCGTGATCTCGCGTGTCGTGGCCCGGCACACCCATTACGGCGCCAGAACCATAATCGTCCAAGACGTATGGAGCCACATAGACGGGAATCGACGGTCCAGTAGTGCCTCGCACATGAGCGACTGGGTTTCTTGCTACAATGTTGCGAAGTAGGAAGCCTTCTTTGGTGTCAGGAGGCAGGTCTCTGGCTCGCTCCATAAAGGTTCGGAGCGATTCATCTTCGATAGCCAGCTGTTGCACAATAGGATGACGCAATGAGAGAGCGATATACTGCACTCCAAATAACGTGTCTGCTCTGGTAGTGAAGACGTCGACTGGCTCGAAGCGCTGCTCACTACCTGTTGAGAAAATGTCGAACCAGAGTTGTGCGCCCTCAGATTTACCGATCCAGTTCCTTTGCATAGCCAGTACTTTTTCAGGCCACCTGCCATCTCGTGTCAGAGCATCCAGATCCTTCAGCAGAGGTGCCTGAAATGCCTTGATCTTCAAGAACCATTGCTTCAGCATAACCTTTTCGACCTTTGCACCGGAGCGCCAGGAGCAGCCATTGACGTCTACTTGTTCGTTGGCCAGGACGGTCTTATCGACGGGGTCGTAGTTTACGAGCGACTCAGCTTGGTAGGCTAGGCCGTGTTCGTGGAGCATGAGGAAAATACGCTGGGTGTGCTTGTAGAAGGCGGGATCGCATGTTCGTATTTCCTACATGCCACTCATCAGCTCTTGTGCCGTGCGGTGGATTTTTTTTTTTTTCGTACAGCATCCCAGTCCCAGCGACCGCCCATCTCCTTCATTTGCCCCTTCATGACTTCGATGTTCTGCAGAGTCCATTTCTCTGGATGTACGCCTCGCTCGATTGCGGCATTCTCAGCCGGTAGTCCAAACGCATCCCACCCAATGGGATGCAGGACCTTGTAGCCCTGCATGTGCTTGAAGCGTGCGAGGACATCGGCTATGGTGTAGACGCGTAGATGGCCAAGGTGTAGTGTCCCCGACGGGTATGGGAACATGGGCAGAACGTATGCATCTCCTCGATCGGAAGCGCGTAAACTGTGCCATTGTGACGACAGTTTATCCCAGTGTGGTTGCCATTTTCCAGTCAGCGACTCTATCTTTACGTCCTCAGCTCTTTGCACTCGACTCGTCAAGCTGCCGGCCCATCGTGAGGTTATTCGCGGGTATACGAGGGGGGGACGGAGGGCGCGCCGCCAGCCTACGCGATGCAGACTCAGGATTCGCATCACCTGTTCGGATACACATATCGTGTACTTGTCAAATTCATGGCCTGAGGAGATGCACACAGCCTCTACGCTAAGCGTGCACTCGTGAATCCGATCCCACATTTCTCTGCATGATGCTCCGGGCGCTAGTCCCATGACGGCATAGGCGCCCTCTGTTTCAACGGCGCAGACAAGCTTCACCACTCAGACACGGCACCTCTGAATGTGAAGAGAAAGGGGCACTGGATACTGCCCCTATACTTCCTCGCCTTCTAATAGAATACCTGCTCCCCATGGCTAGCAGGTGAAACTGCGCGCAGCCCTTCACCCTCTCCTCCGCACCATGGCCGGCCGCTACACCAACCTCCCACCACCAACGCGCGATTCGCTCGAACTAGCCTCGCTGGCCTCGTCCTCGCACCCTTCGCGGCGGACTTCCGAAGAGTCTTCTGCTTCAGGCGCGCCGTCTTCGCGGAGACTCTCCTTCGACGATGAGGACCCATTGAGCGAACTGAACCCTGCTGGCCACGATCCAAACCGACCACGGCACAATCGCTCGTACAGCGTATCGTCCGCCTTTGACTTTGCGCCCAATCTATTTCCGCTCTCGAGTACAGCGCAAGGATACGCAGCGCTAGGCGCGCCATCCAATCCCGCCTTGGACCCGTCGAATGCGCTTAATGGCGGCTCACTGGAGAAGAACAAGAGCCTGACGTACCTCAATGGACTCTCGCTCGTAATCGGCCTCATAATAGGAAGTGGTATTTTCTCTTCGCCATCCCAGGTCAATAAGAATGCTGGATCGCCTGGCGCGTCACTGCTGGTCTGGGTCGTGGCTGGCATCCTCGCATGGACAGGTGCGGCGAGCTATGCGGAGCTTGGAGGCGCGATACCATTGAATGGCGGCGCGCAGGTTTACCTTTCCAAGATCTTTGGCGAGTGGGCAGGGTTCCTATTCACATGGTGCGCCGTCGTCGTGCTGAAGCCGGGCTCAGCAGCTATCATCGCCATCATCTTTGGAGAATATTTGGTACGCGCAGTGATCGGCGCCGAGGCTGTGGATGCGAGCACATGGTTGAACAAAGGCGTGGCGTTGGTGGGACTTGTCA